TTCACTCACGCAACCCGCTTCTTTTCAATCTTATCGCAGCCGCGCTCGACCAGAGCGGGATCGCCATGGACGGCATGGACGGCGACACGGACACTGACACGGATGCACTGCCGCCTCCGCGCCCTCCGCCTCGCAGCAGCAGCGGAGCGCGGCCTGCCGGTGTTGTTGCACCGCCCAGCTCGGCTGCGGCCACTGCGGCAGCTGCACGCTCTGCCGCCCCGCCCAGCCCGCGCGGTCCAGGCGTCGCATCTGCACCTGCACCTGCACCTGCACCTGCGCCGTCGCCGGCACCCGCCACGCGGCTGGCACCTCCTGCTGCCCAGCCACAACCACAGCAGCAGCAACAGCAGCAACACACAGCTGCTCTGGGAGGGCTGCCGGCCGACAACCCGTACAATGCACGGGCAGGCGCTTCTGCCCACGCGCTGTCGCCAAACAGCGTGAGCCCCGGCGCGCGCAGCCCTGCGACACAGCACAAGGTCATGGCCCCGGCGCCTGCCGCCGCCCCGCTCGCAGCGCCGCCCTCGCCGATGAGCCTGCGGAACGGCGGCGCAGCCGTTCCTGTTCCTGCACCTGCTGCGGCGCCACAGGTGAAGAGAGGTCTCCATGCTTGCCGACGTGTGTCTCACCTCACATGCTGTGCATGAACAATCATACTCCTTCTCCAGTCCTCCCCTGACATTCTTCTTCTACTTTTCTCTCTCTTTTTTTTTCTTTTGCCTGACAGGCGGCCACGCCCTCGCCGCTGGAGAAGCTAGAGCTCAAGCACGGCTTTGCCGAGTCCATGAAGGAGGAGCGGACAAAGCACAGCAAGATCTGGCTGGCCCTCAACCCACAGCCTCTCGGTGCGCGTGGTCGTTTGAGCAAAAAAGAGTTTCGCTTTTGCACAAAAGCATGACTTTGCTATAGTGCGTATGCGCCAGGATTTGCTGGGATGTTCATTGTTTTTTCCTTTTCCTCATCTTCATCCCACTTTTTTTACTGCAGCTTTCCAAACGGCGAGGGATCGCGCCGAGAGAGAGGAGAACAAGGAGGTTCTCTCAGATCCGTCGGTCACAAGGCTGATCCACGAGATGAAGGTGGGTTAAAGAAAATGGTTTGTGTTAGTTTCTTGACGTGTGTTGTTTTCTCTGCTTTATCGAACGATTGCCATCTTCGACATGGCAGCTAACTTTCGTTTTCACTTCTTTCTTCCGCACAGTCTGGCGTTGCGCACGCCCCGCCGCCCTCGCTCGTTGCTGGAGAGGAAGACTTGAAGGACGCGGAAGAATTGCCGGCGCAAGAGGAGGAAGAAGAAGAGGAAGAGGAGGAGGAAGTTGTGGACAAGAACAACCTGCCCGGCTTTGACAAGGATGTCATTGACATGCTTGCTGCGCGTCGAAAGGAGCGCGAACTCCAAGAGCAGAAGCGGCGCGACGAGCTGAAGCAGAAGTTCCTGGCGGAGAAGCGTGCCAGCCAGGAGGCGTTGGAGAAGGAGATGGCGGTACGCTTTGTGTTGTGTGTGTGTGTGTGTGTGTGTGTGTGTGTGTGTGTGTGTGTGTGTGTGTTGTTGTGGTATGTGTGTGTGTGTGTGTGTGTGTGTATTTGGGTGTGTGTTGTGTGTGTTTTGTGTGTGTATGTGTGTGTGTGTGTATGTGTGTGTTGTGTGTGTTTGGGTGTATGTGTGTTGTGTGGGGATGTGAGTTTGGGTATCATGTGTTTGTTATGGGTTCTGTGGGTGTTGCTTTTAGCTTTGTGAGGTTTCCATGCTCAATCCCCCCCCCCCCCC